GAGTATCACCAAGGGAAATATCATTTAGTTGCAACCAACAGAATAAAATTTTGCTTGGATGCTTCTCCAAAACGCAAGCTTACTTCTGAAGAGTTTGAGAGAGGGACATTTTCTCCCTGCAGGTGGGATTCAAATCAGGTATGTTGTAGTCTCTTGTCAGGCTGTGCAAGAGTGCATGTAGCCATTGTGTAGTTTTTGCGTTTTTTCTCTGGGTTTATAAAATTCAAAGATAATGTTTCTTGTGCACATGCACACCACTACTTATATTCCAATCATAATATCATATGCCTTGACCAATTCTTTTTTTTTTTTTTTATATGAAATAACCTTTAGATATGCATTTATTTATTTATTTATATTTTTGTGTATTCTGTTATAAGTTGATCTTTGGAGTCTTAAACAGATGTGGGAGTTGAACCCTAATGGGACCCTGGTGAATAGTTATTCTGGCTTGTGTGCAACAGTAGAGTATAGCGAAGGTGAAATTTTATAATTATGTACCCTTTCTAGAATGATGTTGATTCATGCAATTTGTTGTATTAGTCTTGTTTTTTCTTCTAATTTAGTATTCATGACGCTGGTTGTTCGTTTATGCAGATACTAGTAATTCTGATGGATTGCGCTCTTGGATTGCTACAGGAAGAAAAGGTCCGTTACTTACAAAAACTACAGATAAATCTCGATAGTTTTCTTGTTTTCTTCCGCGACTGCATCCAAACATCAGAAAATAATTTGACTGATCATAGGCATTTAAGTACTTAAATAGAAAACAAATTGTATAATGGCCTATCTTCCAGAAAACAGAACCATTTAATTGGTCTAGTTTGTTCAAATTTAGAAAAATATTTCAACAAATCCAAACCTACCCAATGAAAAACAGATTGATATGGTTTGGGTTATTGGGTTGACAATATCACAAATAATGAGATATTAAATAAAGGTATTATAGTCTAAATACAACACTATTTTGCATCCATTAAATGTTTCTCAATATGTATGCATTAACCTTGATATCAATAGATATGGAACAGAGGTGAAATGGACGTAGAATAAAAAAAAAATACATAAATCTATAGTGAAAAGGTTAATAAAAGTCACTCAAATTAGAATTTCAATTGGAGTATATTTGTCAAGGGGTGAAAAAAAATATCAAATTCTAGAAAAGGTAAATAAACATAGAAGTATAATAATTGGATTGATTTAGTTCGAATTGCATTCAATACAATTGTTTGAAGAAAAAAAAAGTCAATTAATTTGGTTTAATTTGTCAAGTTCATGGGATAATGAACACTCCTGAAGACTGGGCATGTTATCTGTAAAGTTCTAGCAAATTCAGCCAAACTACATTTGTGTATATTTGTGGGACATTGAGCGTGAAGTAGCACGCCACAATAAGGACCTGTTTGGACAATTTTTTCCAAAAATATTTATAGGAGAAGAAAATCAGAAGAAAAAATGAAATAATCTTTTTCAAAAACTAAAATTAACTTGTGCATAAATTAATTTGTAGAAATTTTCTTATATTAACTTCTACAAAATATGTTTTTTAAAAAGTTTATTTTATTTTTTCTTATTTTTTTTCCTTAAAAGTACTTGAAAATTTTATCTAAACAGAAAACCTTTATAATTTTTTTTAAGTTATTCTTTTCTAACTCCTAGAGTTGCATCTGTGTGTAGGAGAAGTCTATGTTGCTTTCTTCAATCTAAGCGAACAGAAGACGGTGATATCTGCGCAGACATCGGACCTGGCTAAGTTTCTTCCAGACAGAAACTTCGGTTCTTGTCAGGGTAGTGAAGTGTGGAGTGGAGATGCTATAGAAATAACTCAGGGGACGTTCTCAACAGCAGTGGAAATACATGGAACTGCACTAATTGTTCTGGATTGTAACTAGTCCCCTTTTTTTCTCCTTCCAAATAAAAACAGAAAGAAAAAGAATGGCATCGCAGTTGCTGGCTTAATTTTTTCTATCTATGTTTGAGGTGGATGAAATATAAATGTAAAATGGGGTGTTGTATGCAACTATTTGACCTGCATTTTGTAAGACAAAAGAAGTGGGTAATAGTTGTGCTAGTGGGGGTGATGATGGCTTGGCTGCTGTTAAAATCACATTCTATTAGTTAACTTAAAATAAGTGAGTGGCCAAATAGGCACGCACTAAGTGAACGTGGAGGTACCAAATAGCTCAAGTGTGACAAGCTTTTCGAAAAGCGCTTCTCCAGGAAGAAATTAAGAAGAAAAAATTCTTTAATAGTCAAAATTAGTTTATGTATAAATAAATTTGTTGAAACTCTTATTATTATTTTTAAAAGTATAATTTTTAACTTATGAAGAAAAAAAATATTTTATTTATTTTCTTATATTAGAAATGGTTTATGAAGAAAATATTTGACTGGAGTTGCTATCATATCATAAAAAGATCGCACTAACAGGTTATCTTAATTATGGTGTGCTTCGGTCCAAAAAGACAAGATGCACACTAATATCTCTAGCCACTAGCCCAAGAGGGTGGGACGGAAACATTCAACTGCAGTGTTTTTTATGTAACTAACTTTCAGTATAAATTCTTTGATAAAGAAATACTACATGTGGTTTTAATTATAAGCACCAAAATAGTAACTGATTTTTATGTTTAGATTCATTACAATCGCAAAAATGATGGGCACTCTACGTATTTGAACACATGGTGGATTCTTCCGTGGAAATGTTGAACAAGTGGTGCATAAGTACATAAGAAAAAACAGCAGGTAAATGTAAATTAAAATTTTATAAAAATTATACTTTAGTTCTCTTACATCAACAAAATTGAGTTTTCCTTCACCTTCTCCATCCGCATGATTTCAATCTCCCTTCATCTCCATCTTCATCTGTTCCATCCTAACAAATTCATCTCCTAGAACCTTAATCATAGACACCACTTTCACTATAGGATCTCTCTCCTTCTTTTTCCCAAAATTAGGGTTAGGGTTCTGATTCAAATTGGGGTTGAATTTCTGATTACTTCCAGGTTTCCCAAACACCTTGGAGGTGGAGCAGGAAAGTCATTCAGATAATAAGTGGAGCAAGAGGACATCAACATCGACGACAATGACAACAACAATGATCAAGATCTCTACCACAATAGCTTTCCCTTTTCTTAAAATAGTAGATTTAAATCTAATTCAACCCTACAAAATCGGCTTGTAAGGTAAAGGTTGTTCCACTTATATATTATTTAATTATCTTATCTCTAATCGATGTGAGACTTGGATTTTTTCCAATACACTCCCTCACGTCCGGTATTATTAGACTTGGTACATGGATAAATGGTGCGTGACCCTTTTGAATAATCTAGGATAGGCGACCCTTTTTAAGGATCTAGGATAGCTCTGATACCATATTAGAATAGTGGATTAAAAGTCGATTTTGTAGGGTTGAATTAAGTTCAAATCCACTGTTCTAAGACCTTTATAAGCAATCTAAGAGGGAAAAAGAAGAGGGAAAAGTAGTACTGTGAGGGAAGGGTGAAAATAAGAGGGAGAACGTGAAGGAAGATGGAAGTGTGGTTTGAAGGGAGAAGGTGAAGGAAGACTCAAATTTCTTGATATTGGAGGACTAAAATATAATTTTTATAAAATTAACTTTTCCGCATTAATTTACCTTTTATTTTTCCTTGTGTATGCATGCACCACTTCCTTAGTGGTCCTTCAAAGAAAGTATCTTAACACATAATTAACGATGGAACACATATTATCAAAAACTAAAAGTTTATCTACATTAAATGTGTCATATCAGTAGCTTCTGTTAATATTTTGATCAGAAATTAATGGAAGGACATAAATTATAAAAATTTAAAAAGTTTGGAAGCACACTTCATGAGAAAAAAAAAATGGGGTAAGATTTGTAAAAAAGCAAAAGTCTGAAGCATAAATTACAATTAAATCTTAATAATATGTATCAAACAAATTACTCTCTATATATTATCCACTACTTTATCCTATATGTATATACTTTCTAAACTATCCACTACATTATTTTTTTCTCTCTTAACTATATTAAAGAGATATCCTATTTTGATCATACTTTTTATTAAACTATTATACTCTTTAATTATTTTATAAATTATCTATTCATTTTAATTTATCTATTTTTTTTTACAAGAACTATAATCTATAACCTATAACTATAATAAAGAGGATATCTTATGTTGGTCTTTACTTTTTTATATATAATCCATAAGTCTTATTTTTGAAATAAATAAATTTCTCTCCGTCTATAAAATATATAACTATAATAAATAAAATATCTTATTTTAGTTCTATTTTTTCTTAGATTATTATTATGACCTTTAACTACACCATTAATCATCCACTACCTTGTATCCTATATATAACTACTTTCTAAATTAGTCACTACATTTTCTCTCTTTTATGTTTTATATTTTATTTTTTAAATGAAAGAGGGGCACATTTTTCCTAATTTAAGATATCTATTATAATTTATATACAGAAAACATAACTAGTTTATTTATTTTTTGAAATAATTAAGTAGAAGTTGTTTTTATTTTAACATAGTCATAAACTAATTTTATATTTTACATGGTAGTTATCAATATTTTTTAGTTTAATTTTGGAAACAACTTTACATCAAAAACTTCAATAAATTCACACAAAAAATTAAAAAATGGTTTATAAATGAAAAAAAAAATATAATTAAAAATATATTAATAGTATATATATTTTTTTATATGGTTAATCATATGATTTAGTCAATAGTACTTATTATTAAAATTAACAAAGTTATGGTACATAATAATATGCACGTTTATATCATTGAATATTAAACATTGAAACAAATAATTTTTTATAAGAAAAAACTGAAACAAATACTATGATAATTTATTTTTTTTGACGTTGAGAACCAAAATAATAATACCAAATTTAAGCATTAAACAAAATACTCCTAAAAATAAGATAAAATTAAATGAAAATTGTTAAAGGTAAAAACAGAATATACTTTCAGTTTTGAGAAAAAAGAGAGCACTAGGGTTTGTAGTTTCTGCGTACGTAAACTAAACAGAAGCGTTCCGTAGAAGGGTTTCTGTTTTGCATTTGAAGAGAGAGAGAGAGAGAGAGAGCGATGGAGATTTTCACATTCATCCTGCGCAAATCCGGCGACAAATGGACGGCAAAGCAATATTCCGGCGACATTGAGGAGTCGGCTCCGTCCACCTTTGAGATTCAGAGGAAACTCGTTAAGGCTGCTGACGCCGCCGACTCCTCCGCTGCCGTTCGGACCTCTTTCTCCGTCGTTTCACCTTCCTCTGCCATTTTCCAGGTACCACTCCTTTTTCATCTCTATGCATATTTTCATAGTTATTTATATTGATTCTGTATATGGTGCATCCTTCTAAATTTTCCTTGTGGTTGAGATTAGTATATTACTGCGATTGTTGTTGCTCTGGGGGTTGAGACATGAAATTACTATCTTCATTCTTTTATAATAATCGTTTAAGTTTATTTTATAAAAATTAAGAAATTTAATAAAAAAAAATTATCTTTTATAGAATGATTTTTATGTTTTCTATTATATCTTCTTTCGTTTTTAATTTTGCAATAAATATATATTAGTTGTCTTATTTAAATTGATTAAAAGTTAAGAGAAATGTAAAGATATATAATTGATATAATATAACAATTCATGTTATCTTGAAGTTTGAAAATGATAAATAAATAGAAACAAAATTTTATTAAAAATTTGAAAAGTGTAAAAAGGAATAAAGGGAGTATATAATTGTATTGAACATAAACATATTTTTATAATAATTAAATTCTATCAAACTTTTTTTTTTTTTTTAAATTTTTCATTCCAAATCCCTTTTTTTTTGTTCTCTAGAATGTATCATACACCTCTTAATACTCCAACCAATCATCATTAATTATTTCTCTCTCTTAATTAACTAAACTTATTAGATTAAAAGATTAAAATTTGAATCTATATTTATGTTATTGACAAAAAAAAAGTAGAATAAAATGGTATTGCAGAATTTTCAATGATTTAAAATTACACTACAATTATATGTTATTGTAATTATAGAGAGCACCGCAATTAATAGTAATATTGCGACACCGCCAACACGCAAACCCCAATTTAGAAATAGAGTTTCTCTCTATGCATTAATGCATTTTATAATCTTTATTCAGTATATTTTGGATACTAATTTAAAATCATATTTAATAAAAAAATTATACAATCCCCTACAGAAAAACAAAAATTTGTAAGTATATCTACTTTTTTTTTTTTTTTTAACTTCAATTGAATTCAACACATCTGTTCCCAAATATAACGTTATTAGTTTTTCGTCGTTTCATGTATCGTATTTGGTGTGTTTTCTTCTCCGTCTTTCTTTCTGTTTTTCGTTCAAATGATTGAAGCTTTTACTTCAGTTTTGAAAATTGAACTGTGTGTTATTGGTGATTCGACTCAGATGAGTTTTTTTTTACTAATTTTACTACGTCCTCCATTACACACTACGATATATGATAATTCATTTATTTTTATAATAAATATCTTAAAATTCGCTTTATAAATAGTTTTTAATTAATTAACTATGTAAAATTATTTTATAATAATAAATGTATAACTATTTTTTTTACACCAATATAAATGCATAACTATTAAACTCTCAAATGATCTATTCCTTTGATTGATTTGTTTGAATTGGTCTCTAAAAATAGAATGGAAAATTACTGTGTAGTATATCTGTTAGACGAAATGGAGTAGATAAATTAATTTTCATATTTAAGATGGAATGCTTAATTATAACTTGTTTGGTTTCACGTTTAATTGTAGTGTGTTTGGTTTATGCGTTTTATAGTTTATTTAATGTGAAATTGACTTTTTATGGGCATTGTGTCTGTAACACTTTGTGAAATTGTTAGTAGTCTCGTATTAAGTAGAATATGAATTTTAATGTGGTACTTAAACTTTGAATCTCTTTCATCTAATAGATTAGTTTTTTTTGGATTGGACTTCTCTTCATGGTTTAAGTTCTAATAATTTGTATTCTCATTAAGTATTGAGTTATGAAAAAGACTATTTATAAATTGAATTAAGGTGTAACAACAAAATATTAATAGATAAGTGAAATTGTTAAAGAGAAAAAGATTATCATTAAGTCAATATCGATAGAATGAAAGTCATCATTAGTTCTTAAAAGAGACGGTAATGTTAAGAATTTTACATTAAGTATAAAATATGAAGTTCAATGTGATACTTAAGAGTTAAGACTCTCTCACTTAATCAACTAATTTTTTAAGGATAACTTCTCATAATTTAAGTCCTATCACAAACACATTGTTATATTCCTACTATAGAAGGAATACGGGTTTTCTTAATTAGCGATGGTCTTTTCTATTTGAATAGTTTTTTCCATTCGTGACCCAACAAAACAGATCATTCATGTTTGCTTTAGTCTTGTATAGTTTGAGCATTCTTGATACTTTAAATTATGATGTATGCAGTGACGACAAACGTTGCTTCAGTGGGTGTGTACATTGGGGATCTGAGGGAGTAAAGTAATATGGTGATTTTTGGGCAAAGGGACACCTGTATCTGAGATATTATGATTGTGGGGTAGAATTTGGTGGCTAAAGACACTTTTTTTTTTTTATAAGCAAAAGTGATTTAAATTAAAGGGAGTACAGGAAGTACTTCAACATGTTATAAGTGACATAAAGACATAATTAAAATTCAAAATCAAGGTAAAAATTATGAAAAACACAAATTCGAATTATAATATCAACTAATATAACTAAAAGAATAACAGGTGACAGAATTAGTAATTCACTTCTATTAACGCAGTTTAATATTGTCCAACAATTACTTGCAATCTATAATATCTTGCTGAAAAATAATATCATTCCGATGAAGTCATAGTGACCAGATAATAGAAACTCAAACCACCAGAAAACACTGAAAACGTTTTATAAAGTGGTTTCATTCATATTTTTTTCACAAAGCATTTTAATTTTTATAATTTAGTTTGGTTAGTGTTTTTTTTTTTTCATACCCTTGGTCAAAGATTACACTACAATTGCAATTTTGAATCATTAGAGCATGGGATTTGGCTCTTTTAGATTTCCCAAACATTAGTTCTCTTCAAACCACATATATGGTTGTTGAATTATTATATATGTTAGGGTGATAACCTTGTACTTAACTATTAGAGTGAGTAACGAGGTTGTTTTTGGTCAGGTGGTTGTGGGTGGTGCAGGAATAGTTGTAGGTGGTGTGGCTGCAGCAGCAGCTGCTCCTGCTGCGTCTAAAGAGGCTGCTCCGGCTGCAGAGAAGAAGGAAGAAAAAGTGGAGGAAGAAGAGGATGATGATGATTTGGGATTGTCACTCTTTGATTAATTACATCACTTTACTATTTTCTACATTTTTTTTCATGCGAACAAACAAACATGCATCTTTAGTTTTATAGTAGTAGAAATTACGTATTGGTTTGCACCAATTGATGCTACTTTTCCTTCTCAATAATATTTTGTCTTCTTAACTACTACTATATATTTCAGTTTTTTAAACCACCCTCGTCTCTATATTTATATATTACTGATTTTCATAGCATTCACTCAATACATTATGTAGATTGTTAATGTGGTTGTTCTGCCATAAAATTATTGAATATAAATAAATAGTTTTATTATAATAAAAGTCATTAATTTTTTTTTTTTACAATTTTGTTATATATTATTTTTTCTTTATCTAAAATATCTTATGCAGCCTTCCAACATTCTAACCAAATATTATTAGTTGTCTATCACCTTCTGATCACACTTATTAAAATAAAAGATTAAAGTTTGAGTTTATATTTAATTTTTTTGACAAAAAAGTATAATAAAATGATATTGTGAATCTACTAAAGTTGTGTCGCGACTTGCGAAATTTCTTGCGATTTACGGTTCATTGCAATTAGAAGAAGATATTCGATTATCATTTAGAAGATATTCTTAATGCAAATTAAAATAATAATAATCATCCGTGGTCCTCTCCTCTTCCCTTACTTTCTTCTCATTTTTTTTTAATCTTTCTTACGTTCACTCATGTCATCTCTTCCAAATTAAATGAGATGAAATTGTAATATATATATATATATATATATATATATATATATAATTTAATTTAAAGTTACTATTAAGTAAAAGAAAAATTTGAACCAAATCTAGCCATAGTCCGTGACGCAATTAGTACGGGCTGTGTGTGAGTAAGAACATAAATTAAAGATCAACAATTCATGTAGTGGTACTGTAAGAAGATAACATTGGCAGAAACAAATAACCTTTGAAAATGGTTGCATTTTGTTCGTGGTGCCCCATTGTCTACAAGATAATCTAAAATAAAAGGGGAGATGACTGTGTAGTTTTAAAAGTGATGTTACAATGATACAATTCAGTTAAAAGCTATAAAAAAAACTACTTCCACATGGTTATTTTTTTTAGTCAAGTAACGAGGATATGTTATTCTAAAGAATTCCCGAAGCCAATACATCAGCAAGAATAATTGTGTTTGGTTTTATGTTTATTTTTTCATAAAATACTAGTTAATATGACTCTTTGCGTAAATTTGTATATGTTGATTTTTTTATTGAAAAATTGATTATGAGTTCAAAATTAATTATGAGTTGAATTAATTTTATATAATTTTTGTGTTGGATTTTTTTTTATACTGAATTTAACTACTATTGGGAATTGTTGTTGACTAAAGAATTAGCTACTTTATTATCTCTTCTTATGTAATAACTTATCATGATCTATTTAACAGTTTAGAGTTTAGTCTATTATTTGTTTTACAAAAATTTTATATTATAAGAATTTTAGTTAATTTTTAAGAAAATAAAATTAAAAAAATCAATTTATATCAACAAAATATAACACGATTAATAGATAATTTTGTATTTTAAACATGTAATTACAGTTTTAATATCTAATCTATAAACATGAAGAAAAAAAAATATTTGTTAAGGAATACTACCTTCTTAATTAATAGATCTCATTGTTTTGCAGGATTGATAGTCTAAACTAATTTTCAGTTGAGAATACTTTGATTTAATAAAAAAATCTAATGAATGTCATAAAAATGTTCTTTTTTTCTTCCAATCGTTTTAAATAAATAGTAAAAAAATATTTATAATTTATTTTTCTATTCAATCAATTCACCTGAACTTTCTTTAAACACAAGCTATATATATATCTTAAAATAAAATAAAATGAAATGAAAAGGTGCACAAATGATAATGACGTATTATATTCGAAAATTTTGATTATCTCACATGACGAACCTTACACGTCATCGATTTTTTATTGTCTTAGTGAAACGATAAAAGGTTTTGTCTTTCTGTTTGACATTATGGCCAAATGATGCATACATGCATGGCAATAATTTTTCTAAGTAGAAAATTTTAAAACTTGGCGTTAATTTCTAATTTCTGAGGTAAATTGATCATCAAGAAAACAATTGAGTAGCCACAGAAGTTAGCCAACTCGATTCGATTGAGTCACTTCAAATTTCTTTAAAACATAAATTAATTCAACTTGAATTATCTTTTAAGAATCAGAAAATACCGAAATAGTCAATTTGACCCATTCTATCACGAATTAATAAGTTCGGTGATACAACTCATCATCAATTTTTTTTTTTTAAGGTTTAGGGTTTAGGGTTTACCAACGTTGTGACTGTTTTATCACTAATTATTGCTACAGTACTTCTACCAATATTTTTTTTTTAGTGAAATCTATTAAAGAGTTTTGTTCACATTTACCAATTTAAACATTTTTACTTTGTTAATTGATTAAAAAAAATCCTCCTACTACTTAATAGAGAAAATAGTAAAGCAAGTAAAAAAGATAAGTTCATTTAATGCATTCAAAATGTAAAATTACTATATTAAAAAAAATATTATATATTAAGTCTTCCAAATAAAAATAATAATAAAAGTAATAATATTTTTACACGATTCCTATATTTAAATTATATTCTATATTACATGAGTTTAATTGTCGTGTATTAATTAAAAAAAATTATATTCCTATATAACAAATTGATTGTAAACATAAATTATTAAAGTGAATAAATATAATGATACGATATAATGTGATAAGTCAATAATTTATGGTGATCATACAATGTTATATACAATTAATAAAGTAAAAAATTAAAAAATTTGAATGACAAAATCTAAAACATATGAAAGATGACTGATAAAAAATACAATTAAATCTAAATACTTTTTCAAATACCCAAATCAGAGATTAAACTTTTTTCATTACATATTAAAAAATAAAATTATATATGAAGCAAGTGGATCTTTATTAATACGACTTATGGGACCAAGATAAGTGCATGAGTTGAATCGATAATATTTTTATATAAAAATAATTAATAAAAAGATATTTAACATTTATTTATTATTATGAATGTATAAAAGAGCAAATAGGATTTTGGGTGTTATATAAAAGAGTTAATTATTTATATATTATCGGTATAAAAATTTTTACACTAATAACCAATCATATTTTAAAAATTATTATTTTTTTATTTAATTAAATAAATAAATAACATGACACTATTAAAAGATATGATTGATCGTGAATTTTAAAAAATTTTATCCTAATAATATATGAGTGATTCCTTTATATAAAAAGAGACTTTGTGAGGTTTCTTAGTTTGAAATCGAGGAGCAATGAGTGATCCTTACGAAAAACATATATAAAAGAATTGGCGCGGCGGCCATGGCCATGGGAAAAGGAAAACTCTCTTTCTCTCTCTGAATTCCTCATCCTTGATCCTCAAAAAATTTTATAAAAAAAAATCCTTTTTTTTTTTAATTTAATTATTTAAAAAATGTTCCCTTCAACGACAACGATGGGAAGCACCACCGTGTTGAGCCTCCCTCTCGGCAAACCCAACGCCAGGGTGGCTCCAAAACTCACCGTTTCGAAGGTGGCCGACAAGCTGAACAACCTGACCTCGGAGTTCAGGTCCCTGTCGGAGCCGATCGAGCGCGTGAAGCGGCTCCTGCACTACGCGTCGCTGCTGCCGCCGATGGGGGCGGCGGAGAGGGTCCCGGAGAACCGCGTGGCGGGGTGCGCGACGGAGGTGTGGGTGGTGGCGGAGGTGGACGAGCGGCGGAGGATGCGGTTCCGCGCGGACAGCGACTCGGAGATCTCGAAGGGCTTCTGCTGGTGCCTCGTCTGGATGCTCGACGGCGCCCTACCCGAGGACCTTCTCTTGCTTCACACAGACCATTTCCAACACATCAACGTTGGCTTAGGGATCACCCTCAAGGCCCAATCAAGGACCAACACGTGGCACAATGTTTTCTTCCACATGCAGAATGCTACTAGGGATTTCATCATTAATTGAGAAGCTCGACTTATAAATTCACTTGAACGGACATTGAAAATTGCGTTGATGTTACTGCACTTTTCATTTCTTCTATATTAATGCCTCAGACTGTTCTAAGCTTCCTGCTTCATGTCTTTCTTAATTAACTCTCTCAAATTATCTGTTTTCATAAATTTTAATAATATTATGTACCATATTTATCTATTTATATGAATTTTCTTAAACCCTCTTATTTAAGTGACTATTTATATTTTGTCTAGTCGTTGGTTGGGAAAGATTTAAGATAGTTAAAAATATGAGAACTTAAGTTCAATTCTCTGATCATTTTTTGCGAGAAGTAATTATAGTAACCAACACTTTTGTAGTTTTCTAATATCATATGTAATATTTAACAATAATGAGTTACATGTTTATTAACTTTTATGACTTTTTCCAAACCTTCTCGTTTAAATGTCTATTTATATAAAAAAAATGAAAAATAAAATTTATTAAGTATTTAAATATGTAAAACTAGAGACATCCATGTTGTACTTCACCACACTAAAACATAAGTTTACTCCAACATTGGTAACTAGTAACAAAATAAGCAACACTCTTATACATCTAATATCAAAGGTAATCTTTAACAATATTGTATAACATATTTATTAGTTTCGATGGTTCTTCTCAAATCTTCTTATTTAAATGCTTAATTAAATAAAAAAAATGGAGTAAAAAAAAAAATATATATATATATATATATATAGTTTATAAAGTATATTACATTTTTAGGAATCCTAATTTTAAGATCAAGTATAATCAGTAATGTTATTAAAAAGAACATTTAAAAACATGTTTCATTTGGGGCTAAAAAATATCATGTGACCTAAATTACCGAAAATGGAAAACGACTCCACTGGGGATCGAACCCAGAGTCTCTGGTTCCGTAGACCAGCGCCTTATCCATTGGGCCATGGAGTCTTGATGTTGCTAAAGTTCCTTAAACACCCAATTTAAATGACTATACAATAAGCACAGGCCTGCAGAGAATTTGTATTTTGTAGTGTAGTGTGGTGATTGGGAAACACAAGTTTGGGAGGTTTCAACACATATTTGGAATAATGCTTGAAATTTGTAAAAAAACAAAAATAAAAAATAAGTTGTTTTTAAACATTTAGAGTTGAAACTTATGATATTTTTTAAACAGTTTTCTCCTCTTAAAATTGATATAAAAACTATTTTTTTATATTCAAATAAAATTAAAATCATTTTTCAGCATTTATAAAACAAAACTCTCTTTAATTAAAATCAATGATTTTAATAAATAGTTATACACATGATAGATTATTGAAATGATTTAATTTTTTACAGTTGAAGATTTATTTTAAACAATAAGGGGTCAAATTTTGTGATATGGTATTTTTTTGTTGTTTCTATTTTTTATTTATTTAATTTGTTATTTTTGTATAAGTGTTGAAGATTTTGATAGTCATAATTCAACTTTCTTTTCTTGTGTTATTTTTACAACATAGTTATGTAGTGCTAAATTGTTAATAACTGATGGTCAATACAAGATTTAAAAGTATTAATGAAAATAAATTCAAAGATCTATAGTTGATAATTTCCTTCTTATATTTCGAAAGTATACAATATAATTATGATCAGTTTGATTCTTTAAATAATTTGACTTCATATTTAGCTATTAATAATGACAATAATATCATAATTATATTTAAAGTTCATTAACCGAGAAACTTATAAATTAAATGATTTTTTTTTGCGTGAATAGTAAAGTAAAATACTATTCATTTCGTTCTATTTAAAAATTAAACTAATAACATCATTATGATTAAGAAATTATAATAAGAGAGTTTAACATATTAATATAAAATAGTTTTACATCATCAACCAATTAAATATCATTATTGATATAACTTTTTTACTTACTTAAAATAAAAAAGTTAATAATTTATTATAAATAATGATTTATGATTAAATAACATTTTATACTATTAGTGTATCATACATATTCTCTTGCAATAATATTATCTTTTATATACTTAGAATTTTACTACAGAACGTACAAATTAACTTAATTTATAATTCTTTCAATTCAGTTTAACATGATTTTGAATTTTAATATTCAGAAAGAATTTTATCGCATATAATAATTTTTATAACTGAAAAACAGATTATTGTAAAAGAAAAATATAATGGCACACTATGATTACAAATCTATTAGGATTGATAATGGTAGAGAAATATAAACAGTTTGTGTAAAGTTTTATATTTGAATGTTATCATTGTTGTTGCAAAAGAAAAAAGAATTACATTTTTAATAAAAACAAAACAAAACAAAATTGCATATTAAGAATTAAATAGAGTGGAAAAGTAGAATTTAGAGAAGGAGAAAAAGTTGAGAGATAGATCATAGATGAGATGTAAATGGCGCATATAATAGAATAGTGAATGGGTCAAATGGCTGCGCTTCAATTACGCCCTTATGACGCGGCCTAATTTCTTTTACTCTTCTAATTCATTTGGCTACGACTCTACATTTTCTTTTATATATATACACAAAGTGATATAAAGCATTAATTGTACATTAAAGATTAATTTATTTCATCTACATCTATTTCTCTGATATCAAATATTATTTTAATATCAATAAAAATCGATCTTGAGAATATAAGATCAAACTCTTATGTTTCAAATATAATTCTTGATCTCTTATGTCTCAAATATAATTCTTGCAATAAGCGATTAATTCAAATAAAATTGAGTTTGTATAAATTAAATAAAATTTTGGGTTTGAGGACAGGTGACAAAGTATGTTAACACAACACATTTGGATCTACTTGTCAAAACTAGCATGAGTTAACACGGGCTAAAAATCATGGCTAACTCTATTTAAAAGTAACTTGACATCATGACAAGTTAATTAGTAATGAAGAATACTTATTTGATACTTAGATTCAAAATCTTGTTCGAGGAAAATAAGTTTAATACCATTTGAAATATAAATCACTATTTTATATGAAAACGTTTTTACGAATTATTAAAGATTAACATCTTATAAAACTTGATAGGGTAATCAACCCAATATTTTTTATATGGAAAAAAGTTAAATGAGTTACCTATGTATCTCCCACCATCAAGGACACTCTTCTAACGAAATTCAACTTCACTACATATTTTCACTATAATAATAATGAGTTATTGCCTCTAGTTCTAATTTTTAGCAACAAGTTAAATTTTTCTCTAATTTTAATTATAAATAATAATTATTAGTTTTTATAGTTAATTAGGGTTATATTTCTTTTTATATCCTTCATTTATTGTTAGCTCTATTTCTTGTACATTAACTTATGACTAACATTAAATACAACTATTACTTAGTAAATGATGTATTTCGAATAAAACTTGAATTTATGGTAAAATAAATTAAAAAAACCATATTAATTATTTTTTTGAACCGGATACTTTGTATTATGTTACTTATAATTAGGATTAGAGATAGTATTACCTCTATTCTTATATATAAGACACAGACATCTAATTTACCAATTTCTTTAAAAAAAGTAGTTAATTTAGTTGATAATAATAAATTATATATATATATATATATATATATATATAAATATATCCTTATACTACTTTTTTTTCCTAATTAATATTCATATATTTTCTAATCAATTAGAGTTCATGCCTTATACTATTTCTCTCTAAGTTAATATTATCTTTTTCTTAATTAATTAGAATGCATGTTCTTTAAAAGTGTATAATAATACATTTTATCAAATTAAGAGATCACACTTTAATTAATGATATTTTAGTCTAAAAATAATTAATATATGAGATAATATGAATCAAGTCTTATATGAATGAACAAACAATTATTTTAAATTAAGTTCTGTAAATAAGAACGAAAGTAGTATTGTTTAACAATTTGGTTTGATTTTTGGATTAAAAATTATTCTAATTAAATAAATATAGTAAGTGTGGTTTAGTTTGTTTTAATTTGAATGTGTTATGAAATGTAAACAAAACAAAAATATTTGTGACTTGCAATTTTAAAAATTTATTATTTAAAAATTAGCTAAAAAACATGTAATATTACATTATAAATGATTGACATTTTTTCTAAAATTTTGTTTAATAGACTTTACTTATATAATTATAAAAAAGAAATACTAAAGACAAATAATAACAAAAAATCATTTTTTAGGACTCACCCACTAAATTCAATTGATATCGGTAAAATTAGTACCAAAGATGCAAATTTTGAACTTTAAGATATAAAAAATATATATATATTTCGAGACTTTATTAGGACATATCTAATGAGATGGATATTTCTTATGTTAGAGTGAGAAGAGTTAATTTTGATTATCGAATTAAATTTAATTACTCATATTTAATTATTCATTAAACAACTCACATGTCTCTTTAGTTTTCACTTTGACGTAGTCGCTGTATTTGCACAATGCTCACATAATGTTCCTTCCACTTTGCAATAGACACTATATTTGCATGTCACTTTCACCTTTTATCGTTTTCTTTGGCCTATTAGTCACTTTCATCAATTGATGCCAACAAACACTACCATTTTGAATAATATTGTATTTCCTCTAAAAGAAAATGCAAAGGTATGTGATTACATCAAATTGCTAGTATATATAGTAAGTCACAAATTTGATTTTAGAAACTTGTAAAGTATTTTCCTTTTTTATTTTTTTATAATAAGTTTAGTCTTGCATATTAATTTTGTATTTATAATTTTATTTTTCCATTTTATTACGTATTTTGAAAAAAAAAACTTTTTGGAAAGGTGGGTGTTTCTTTCAATGCCAAATCTCAATTTTAAAGTCATTTTAAGTAATGTGTTTATAATTTAGAGTCATGAGAAAGTATTTGAATTGACTTGGAAGACTATTATTAGTGATTTTCACTTGGAAAAAAATGATTGACTTTTTTAAATATATAATATTTGAAGTATGTGAATTACCAACTTGTTTCATAGATGTATTTATGGGTGGAAATTTGAGAACAACCTTGAGATGAGAAGTCAAAATTTATTTTTTTGGTAATCACTTCAACAAAAACCTTAGCTTGGTGAAATTTTGGATTTGATTTGATTTTGCAATGGAAGCATAAAGATTAAAGACATAAGGAACTACTTGTGGACAATGATACACTACATTCTATTCCAAAATTAAAGTTGCATACAATATAGAGAAGCATGATAGAAAAATTTATACTCATGAAAACTTTTATATATTTCAAAAAGAATTGTGGAATGTTTGTGTTGACTGTGGAATTGAAGGAACAATAGAAAAATGTGAAAAATCAGTATTTTTTATACTTTATAACATTATGGTCAATGGCAACAAAGTAAACAAGCATAAAGAAGTTGTTTATGATCCTTCTAATCACATTGCTCAATGTTCATGTAATATGTTTGAATCTGAAGGTATGTCATGCCGACACATCCTTTTATAATAAAGGGAAAAAGTTTAAATGAAATTCTAAGCCATCACATTCTTAATAGATGGACAAAGTTGGCAACTAGTAGATCAATTTTTGAATATGATAGAAATGTAAGTGAGGAATATTCTAAATCGGAAAGTGAGAGCAAGTTAATTTCAAATGCATGGGCACGATTGTTTAAATATGTGCATATGTTAGTACATGTATAGAGAAATTACTCCTTGTTCTAAATGAAGGATCTAGTATTAAATCTAAATTAGCTAACATAAAGAGTGATGTTGTATCGAGATCCATATATGAATTTAAGTCCTTTATTGGATTTGATATCCTTCCACGTAAACCTTCAAATACTAACGTATGTGGAAAATGAAATAAAGGGGAGAAAGAAAAAGCAATGGAACACACACACATATACATAGAGAGTGGAGGAATCCATTTACTCGAAAAATAAGTTTACTCAAGCTTAATTCACTCAATAATTCATATTGTACAACATATTTCAACGATTAAATTGTTGAATTAAAAGTTCTTAACTGTTACAGAATATAATGTGAACAAAAATTTACTGTTAGTTAGTTTTTTTTTTATAAGAGAATTGATGAAATTTCTTATTACAGAAAAACAGAGAAAGAAGATTACAAAAGTCACAAAACAAAATTACAAGGCTGACTATTTATAGAAGAAAAAACAATGATAACAACTAACTAATTGTAATTAATTACAAACTAATTGAGAAAGATAAAAACTAACTAACAGTAAACTTTTGTTCACATTATATTTTGTAACATTAACACATAAATCCACTTTGCAAATTTTTAAAAAGTCAAAAACTATTTAACACTTCGTTTCATTAATTCAAGTCATATATTTTTTTTTTATAATTATCTGTTAATTTGAATTAATAAAACATAATATTTAAAAAATTATATTATATTTTTAAAATTTTACTAACTTTATCTACGCATTAATTTTTTTTAATTTATTAGTGAAATTGTTTAATTTTGATATATAACGAGTTATTAAATGGAATAAGTCTAAATATACTTACTATTAGAGTAAGTGAATCCCTTCTCATATATAAAGGAGAGATTAATTTACTTTTAGAGGTTTTTTTTTTTATCAAATAAAAATTTATTAAAAGAGATATAAGGAGTACCTTAACTCATATACAAATAATTTTATTAAACTACCAAGTGATCCATGTTTTCATTCCCTTACAATTTTCATAACCTAGTTAGCTAGCAACCACCAAACCCCTATTCTAGTGAATGAGCCACACACTACTTTCTCCACTCTTTACATATTTGTTAATATTGCCTACAACCCCCACACAAGACAATACAATCCATCAAAAAAACCATTACAGCCCCAAGACAGATCTTTCATTTAGTATATAAAAAATTATTTATTTAAAGAGTAAGTCAATTTATTACACTTATTACACTCAATAACCCATGTTGTTCATTAAATTTTAATAATTTAGTCATTAAATTAAAAGTTTTTAATATATAAATCAAGTTTGTAAATTTTTTTAAAATTTTAAAATTATTTGATATTCTATTTCACTAATTCAAATTTACAGACAATCATAAAAATATATTTTTATGTTGATTTCAATTAACAAAAATAGAGTACTAAATAATTTTCAACTATTTTTAAAATTTATAAACTTGATCTATGTATTAATTTTTTTTTAATTTAACTGGCTAAATCGTTTTAAATTCAATATAAATCATAATTTATTAAATGAAATAAATGTAAATAACTTTTCTCTTAGAATAAATAAATTATTTCTCATATATATATATATATATATATATATATATAAATCGGAAGATTATATGATCCAATATCGATACAGTTGTGAAAAAATATTGATATATATCTTACGGTCTAAATTGATTTTTTTTTTATAGTTTTATTATCCCAAACTGCAAACCGAATGTTGTTTCGTAAAATGAAAAAATCGAATAAAAACACTAATTTTTTTTCATTCATTTTCAATTTTTTAGGTTGATTTTAAATTTTTTTTTAATTGAACCGGTCCCATTTTAAAAATCTAATAATATCAATGCTCTATAATCATTTACAACTTAAAAAAATGGGAGATTTTTCCCAAAAACTAAGATTTGTTCATATTAAAAAAAAATATTGACTTTAAAGACTTCAATAAATTTCTAAAAAAAATAATTTACCTTTTAATTTTAAAATTTGATATAATAACGGACTCCAATTTATAATCAAACTATTCATTTAATGTTGACTAGAGACGAAAATTGAGAGTTATCTAAATTATGGACAATTATGCGAGCAGTTATTTAAAAAGAATAAAAAAAATAAAATGAAAAAATATTTAAAAAAATAATTTAAATTTATATAAAAATAGAGATCAAAACAATTATTAAAAAAGTTATCTCTTTATATAATATTACATATAAAAAATATTTATTTATTCAATATTAAAAATTGATATGATAAATTACTGAATTAACTAATATAAATTATTTCAGTTTAATTAATAATTTTTAATTTGAGTATAAAAGTATATGTTAAATATCGGGTGGGGAGAATTTTTTATAATGTGTGAATTGTGATCTATACTTGATAAAAAAAAAAAAATTGAAATGGTAAAAAAAGAATTTAATTAAAGGTGGAGTCTCGTCTTTGTTTTGTGAGGAGACTCTTAAGTCCTAATCCCTTTGAAACAGAAACGTCGTGAAATTCATTAAACAAACGCATTAACAAAAAACCACCCCAAACCTTTTTATATTTTTAGTGGCACCACTTTATGTTGTCTTTAACCCCAAAAGCTTTAAGGAAAAGCACAATTACCTCTTATCATAAATCCTAATCACATGTAGTTTGAATTTAAACACAATCACTTCTCTCTTTAAAATGAAGGTAGAAGAGCAAGCGAAGGGAACTCAAAAACCAAAACTTTGGGTTTAAAGGCTACAAAAATAAAGTTTCCAGACACCCTCTGTTGTTTAAACTCCAAAGATCTTGTTTGTTTGAGCCATAAACCCAAACCACTCAGAGAGGGAAGAAGATTCCATTCTTCATTTTTTTTTCTTTATACGTGTCTGCCTCTGAAAAATTCATTCTTTCTTCGCTCTATAACTTCCACCTCTGTTTTCGATCAACATCACCAAACTCCACGCACTTGGGGTGTTTTTTTTCTCTGCTTTTTATCATAAAGCTTCCATTTTTGCTCAGATCTTCCTCTTGGTCTTCTTGTTCCTGGTACGTATTATGTTTCTTTTTTTTTTTTTTTAAATGTCTTTGCACTTTCAGAATCGATGAACTGAATGAAAGCTTCAAATACAAGGATTAAGTTTCCCCAGAATGGCAGAATATATCCTCGTGTAACGTTATTTCGTTTTCTTTTATGAAAGAAAGGTTAAAAAAATGGTAAAGTTTAGGATCATTGGTAATAGCATAGAATAGAGTTCAGTTTAGAGACAAAGATGCTGCATACTGAATTATGATTTCAGTTTATGTCAAGTGGTACAATCATTGCGTTTATACCACGCTGGAGAATTGTGCCTGTTTGGATTGGTTTATTTTGCTTCCCGAAAAGCTTTTCATTAATTTCCTGAGGAGAGAGTTTTTGCTTGTGAAGCTTTTTGTCAATAAAAAAATTAACATAATTCAGATATGGGCAAGTTTTATATTTTCTCTTTCCTTTTCTTTCTTTCCTTTTATTTGAAGTTTTAATGGCAGGTTCTATATTTATATAGAAACTACCACATGGCTCTGAAAATTTTGGAGCTTCTAAGTTAGGGTTATTATCCTCTTTTTGTTTCATATCGTTTTTTGTCAAAGAGATCACATGTGTTGTCCAACCGGTCTGAGTTAATGTAGGAGGATTTTCAGGAAAAGACACACGCTTTTCTTGCTTATGGTTTTTTTAAATTGGTGTCTTGCTTCAAGGGCTGTTACCTAAATTTGGCTCCTTTGCTTATGCTTCTTGGCAACTTCTAGCACACTAATTGCTCTTCCTTCCATAACTGCCAATTGATATGGTTGAAAAGTTTAACAGAATGGTGCTATGATAAGTTGCCATGCTACTTGGGTTGTGGAACATGTTCACGAATAGAAGTAAAGTAATATTACTTGTGAATGCCACTGGTATGTTGGGAATTTGAGGTGGTGTTGGGGGATATTATGTAATTTGCTTTCCAAACAATATAACCTTTTATCTCATAAAACAATTGCACCTTATGTTCTTTTCAAATTAGAATCAATATCTGGTTCCATCTGTTAATGTTTCTGGTTCTTTCTGCAATGTTCCTTTGGCAGGGTTTTTATTATTTTAGTTTAACAAGCATATCTGTTTCTTATACGGAGGATACCTGCCAATTGATAAGTAGTGAAGAATAGCCACTGCATATAGTTTTATGAACATACAGTCACAGAAGTTGCAAAATAAATGGGGATCGTCACTCGCAGGTCTAATCATTGGTGATAGCTAACTATTTTTGTTTTTGTGAGATTTTTCGTGTATTCTAGTTAATGTCAACAACTCCTTTCAATTGACATTGGACATTTCCATTTCATTGGCTGCAGTTCTGTTGGTAGAAAACCAAGTGAAATTATGAGGATTTTTGTGACAGCTTTTATTGGTTTAGTTTTTGGATTCTTTATAGGAGTATCGTTTCCAACATTGTCAATAACAAAGGTGCAGACTGAGTATCTCTTTCCTCTCCTCTTTTTGGCATACTTTGTGCAGAAGTAAATTTTTGTCAATGGTTTTATGTTATTGGATTTGATAGTGGTACACTAACAGTGCATAACAATTTGCAGTTGAATCTCCCATCTGGCCTCCTTCCCTCCATTGATCTTTCTTACATTGAAGGCAAATATACAGGTCGCCAGGCTTGGTCTTTTATGAATAGTAGTAACAGAAGAAGTTCACCACATGTTCAATTATCAAATGATACATCAAAGGTACACACTTTATCCTCTCAGCATATTTAAAGCATTTTAAGCCACCAGGTTTTATGGGGATTCTAGGTAGTTAATGATCCATGCCTTTTATGAGTGTAAGGGAAAAACATAGTAGGCCCTGGCCTTCTGTTACTATAAGTTCCTATTATAGTGACATGTTCATGTTCATAAATGCACTATTGATAAGAGATTCCAAGAATGATTTTATTTTGTACAATGTTGGGATTTGGGAAAATGGTTACTTAGAGTCTGTGCATTGAATTATTGATCAATCACATGCTTCTTATTTTTTTGTTTCTCTTCAGATTTGGGTTCCATCAAATCCTAGAGGTGCAGAAAGATTACCTCCTGGCATTGTTGAAGCTGAGTCGGACTTTTATTTGCGTAGATTGTGGGGTAAGCCCAGTGAGGTGTGTATCCAAAAACAGTTCAAAACAGTTTATAGGCTTATTGTGGCTACAATTCCAAATATCACAAGAAAACTACTTTTTTTTCTTCCTATTTTTTTGAGGTGTGGAGGGAAATTTGAGCAAAGAAAGCTTGTCCTTTTCCATGCATCAAAATAACATTGCTTAATACAGATTATGGCCTTATGAAGTGCTACATGATAAAAAAAAGCCTAGCAAAAGAGGACTTTCATATGTTTGGCTAGATTGTTATCTTGCTTATATGAAGTAAAACAAGTAAATCTCAATTGGACAGAATTTAATTAAGTTGACACTTGCAGGATCTAACGTCCAAACCAAATTACCTTGTAACCTTCACTGTTGGGTATGATCAGAAAAGCAATATAGATGCAGCTGTTAAAAAGGTCTTACTCAGCCCCTTCCTCTCTCTGTTTGCATATGCTTCTGTATGTGTCCTTTAACTAGATATTTACTTGAACAGTTTTCAGGGAACTTCACGATCCTTCTGTTTCATTATGATGGCCGAACCACTGAATGGGATGAGTTTGAATGGTCAAAGCGGGCGATTCATGTGAGTGCTCGCAAACAGACCAAATGGTAAGGAGCTAAGCTTTTCATTATTTTTTTGAATGATAAATTTTTGTTGTGGTTTTTGCAATTAATAGTATCTAGTGCTTACCCAATTTCAATCATGTTATCACATTGACCATTTGATTCTCCCTCAGGTGGTATGCCAAGCGGTTTCTGCATCCTGACATTGTGGCACCTTATGACTATATATTCATATGGGATGAAGACCTGGGTGTTGAGCATTTTAATGCTGAAGAGTGAGTATTGGATAAGAGAGTGATATCTTTTAAAAGGTTTTATTTTTTGAATCAAAGTTTCATATGCCTCTCTTATTTCAAGTGCAGGTACATAAAACTGGTGAGGAAGCATGGCTTGGAGATTTCTCAGCCTGGCTTGGAACCTAATAAAGGATTGACATGGCAAATGACGAAAAGAAGAGGTGATCGTGAAGTTCACAAGTAAGAATGATTGGAGTCCTGCTCTCTGGAAGTTCTTGTTATTTTAAAGAACGTGCATTAACTTTATTTTTTCTGTATTTTTATTAGGGTGACAGAGGAAAAACCAGGATGGTGTTCTGACCCTCATTTACCTCCTTGCGCAGCGTAAGGAACTGCCAATGTATTATAGTTACATTATCTAAGTCTACTGAACTGTAAATGATTGTGCCATCACTGTTACATGAATGCAGGTTTGTTGAGATCATGGCTCCAGTGTTCTCCCGAGATGCATGGCGCTGCGTATGGCATTTGATTCAGGTTGACTGGTTAATCCTAAAGTTCTTATTGTTTTGAAAGATGCCCCTTGCCTATTTGTTCAATGTTTCTTTAAGCACTTGATAAAATTATGATTGTACCACTTGGCATTGCAGAATGACTTGGTCCATGGGTGGGGTCTTGATTTTGCTCTTAGAAGATGTGTTGAGGTGAGTCCATTCTCACATTTTCAAATCATCTAAATTGTTAACTGCTTAATTTAATGACCTTAGGGGAAGCACACACAAGTGAAAATAAAAAAAATGCAATCTATACATGCTATGGAGCTTTAAACTAATATCATTTTTTTCTTATATAGCCCGCGCACGAAAAGATTGGAGTTGTTGATTCTCAGTGGATAGTTCACCAAGGTGTTCCCTCACTAGGGAATCAGGTATTTTGTTAGCCATGATTACACAATTTTACTCAAAAATCATGCTTAAAACGCATATTAATTTTCTTTCCTATGCAGGGTGAATCTCAAACAGGGAAAGCGCCATGGCAGGGGGTATGTTTTACATGTTCAATATTCTTCAGCTTTATTAAATTGTACACTGTTTAGTTTAGTTTTTTTTTTTTGGGTCTATTGAAAGAATCAAACTCAGTCCTAAGGGATTTACAACAACTGACGCATTCTGTTCAACTAACTGATGAAGACCTCTTGATATTGTTCGATTAATTTTCTCATGAGAGTATGATATAGTACTATAGTAGTTGGCTTCTTTTGCTCACATTAAATGTCTAATGAAGAAACTCTGTGTTATAATGGAAGTGGTCTTTTATGTTATGTACTATGATGTCCAAATTGATTGATGTTCAAATGTTGTTGGTGCTAGGTGAGGGAGAGGTGTAGAAAAGAGTGGACAATGTTCCAGAGTCGGTTAGCAATTGCGGAAAGCGCGTATTACAAGTCCATTGGAGCTGATATATCTAATTCCACTGCTCATTAACGACCAAACTTGACTAGTACACACATATCTTTACCACCCTTATTTGTAGATTTTCCCTTAGAAAAAGAAAATATATTACTGTATAACGTTACGTACATGCAATTGCAATCTAGAGTCCTAGCCAGGGACCAAAGATCAATTCGATGTAGAATTGCTGTACTGAAAGTGAGTAAATCTAGTGAATAGAACTATCATTGCAGCCTAACTCTTTTGGGACTGGATGCAAATGCTTATTATAGGAAATGGAAATACTTTAGTGTCACAATTCTTATTCTTTTATTCTATTTCTCAGATTATGGAATAAAATTATAAAATTTGGTTTTATCATAAAATATTTAAATACTGATAACAGTTTTATTTCATGTTGCTACATTTTATGTATTCCATTGTAAAATAGTAGTATCTTATAATAATGTTACTTTCTGGGTCTCTGGCCTCAAAGTCGAGCATAATTGAACCGAGCTGTTGACTGTTGTTCAACTCAATATCGATTCACTTATAATTGAACAATTAATTCAGATATAATTTTAAACTTTAAAGATATAATTAATGTAAGCTAGAAATAATTTATATGGTGATAAACAATCTTAAAAGATAAACAAGTTGAGATAAAGATTGATCCAAATTAATAAATATAAAAGATAAATGAAGCTACTATATAATAGTAAGCTAGAGAGGATAATCAAGTTTTTATTCATAATCTCACTTTTTTTTTTTTTTTTTTTAAATAAAGACTGCATAGATTTTATACCAGAACAGTTTCCATTTGTTAGACAAAAAACTGACAAGTTGAAAGCAGGAGATGGCAAGAGAGTCATTTTCAAAATCGGTGTGGGGTGCAAAAATCGGATATGAGGGGTTCCAATTTTTATTTCTCTAGTAACGTTGTGTTCAAGTTATTACTTGTTCCACCCTGGTGAACATTCTTGATTCGTTTCCAAATCGTTGTTGTGGGCACGGTTTTTTTTGTTTTGTGTTCTAGGTGATTGATTGCCATCATTTTAATCAAATCAAAATGTTGAACGTTCCATCAAGCACTTGAATAACTCTACAATGACGACAACTCAACTAGATTCTTCAACATGGGAACGACAAGTGTGTGTTTTGAGAAAGAAGAAAACAACTGAAGACTTTCGGAATTGGTTCCGTGTGTTGTGGATGACGGGGAAATAGGGTTAGTACATGGAATTGATGTAATCTGTTACCATTATTATAATTGGACTAATAAATGTTTCCTTTCCACCTCAAGAGTTAGATAGGTTTCATACTTAAAAAAAATCCATGTTCTACATTAAAGACTCATCTTCATTTTCCATATTAATACATAGTTTGAAGCTGGCTGAGAAAATTGACATAATTTTCACGTAATGCTGATTAGATTTAAAAAGTAGTTACGAATCTTGAAAGTGCAATACCAAAACAGCACTAATGAAACTTGACCCATTCATGTGTCACTTCCCAAAGGATGGATTGGTTGGGTTAAGATGGTGACATGTTGACGAAACTTGAACACGTGGCCCCCACCCAACTTGGGCAGTTTTTTGTCCACCCAACTTGGGCAGTTTTTTGTTTTCACCCACGTATATGCCCATGTTGCAACTAGCTGAATAATCCCAACACACTTTAATTTTAATACCTTTTTTCTTCTTCTATTAATTAGAATTATATTAAAAATATATAAAGTGTGGGTTTTATATTTTATTTAAATTAAAATATTTTTTGTCCTTTGTCTTTTATGTTCAACTTTTGCTCCAAAATAAAAAATATCATTGTTTCAAAATTCCAATATTAAGTCAAATTTAAAAGTTAAAAAAAAAATATATTTTAAAAAATTGTTGGGATGCAAACAAAATTTCACATCATTCAAACAAGAGGATGCACATGAGTTTATATACACACAATTGTCTCCATTGGTTGAGAGACCTTTTGTTTGATGTTCAAAAGTAAAACCGTGAGGGTTATGTCTCACCAATGTGGAGACATGTGTATGTGTGTGCTAACCCCCCACGTACTCAACAAAAATAAATATTCAAAATAAATTTTTCTAATAAAATAAAAAATCCAAAATAATTTTAGTCTCCTATGTAATAAATCTTTCTTATGATTTTTAACTAATAAAAAATAATTTGTTAGAAAGTGTAGTTAACTCTTATCAAGAAGTTTTTTTTTCCTAATAAACTTTCTAACATACTTTTTTTATTGATTAAAATTTACTAAAAGTTTAATATCCCATTCGAAATATTGTTTGCATTAGTATTTAATAATTTATCACAATTTTTTTTTAATGAAAAAACATGTCAATGAGTTAAAGGAAGATAATTTTTAATAATTACTTTTCACCTATTATAAAATTTTACATTATTTAAGAGTTGAAACTAAGGATAAAAATTAATATATACTTTTCTCCCATGAACTTGAAAAATGAGCAAAGAACTTTCAATCTAAAGATCACATTTAATATAAGATTATTTAGTAGTGTAATACTTAGTAAAAGTTACATATTATTATAATCCTTTTTTCTGTCAATATATATATATATATGTATATATATATATATAATGAGATTAGGCGTTCAAAATTTGTGAAGCACAAACGCGGATTAAGAGCCTTGACAGTTGACACCACATATATGTTCTAAACCTATCATACACTAAGCCAAGCCCATGATATGAATCAAATATTATGTATAAAATTCTATTAAACATATCAATTTCATATAATCTCAATTATTTAACCTTTCTGAAATAAACATAAAACATCGATTTTGGTTGATATTTTATAAAGATACTTTTTGTCGAATTATTCATAATAAGATCAATCATGCATAAGATAAGCATTTATTTTTAAATTTTGAAACACCGAATAAATCATATTTATAAAAAAGAATTATGAATAAACGGATCTGAAGATTGCGTTACCGAGTGAAGGAAGAGCTTAGGTTACTTTACGCGGAGGCAGCCGAAAATCTAGAAACCTCGGAAAGGCGAGGATGCATGCCACGAGTCACGAGCGGTGTGGCCACAGCGGACACGTGGCTTTCTGAAAGTATCTTTTTTGGGGATGGCGAAATTGCCATCTTCTGATTTTTCACTTCACTCCCTAGTCCCTAGTCACAAACTCCTCCACGTGTTGCCACGCGTAAAATGAAACCCCTTTCCGCGGCCAAACCATGGTTAGGTTAGTACATTTCGTTAGTTAGGATATGTGAACCGCGAACAACGTTCCTCACTACTATAGTGTACACTATATAACAAAGTCTGATATATACGAATTCTCGGGGGCAAGTGGGTATGTTGTGCAATTTGTCTCATTCTCGTTAATTTGTGGCCGTGATTATGGGTCTGTCGAATTTCCCTAGTGCATCAGAAGGGGTGCTACCCGTGCTCGTCATGAACACCGTTGTATCGGTGGCTGTGTTGAAGAACATGTTCAGGTCCATGCTCCAAGTGGTTGCTGGCACTGGCACTGGCACTACTTCTTCCTCCTACTCTCCCAACATTCAACAAGACTGCTCCTGCTCCCACCCAAGAAGGGTCTCCATAACTCACTACGACTCATTGTGCCACGCTGTGCCCTTGGTCGAGTGCTGCGTTTGTCTCTCTGCCTTTGAGGCTAATCAAGAGGTCAGTCAGTTGCCTTGTAAGCACTTCTTCCATAGGGGCTGTTTGGATAAATGGTTTCGTAACAAACACGCCACATGCCCCTTGTGTCGATCCATCGACTAGACTAGACTACACATGTGTACAAAGGTTACATTAATGTTACAATTACACCTACGTGGTTGCTTCTTGATTAACTTGTTGTCAGACTGAAATGCATCAATGTCTCTCTTTTTCTTTACTTTGTAAACCCACTTCAACCTACTCACTTCTCTATTTAGAGATGGTGCGGTGTTGTGTTCTATGTGCAAGTAGTTCCAAATTCGATTTCATCGTGATTTTTGCGTAATTTTCAATTTGATGATACTAGTGCCTTGTGGCTTGTTTGTTTGAAATTTGAAGTGGAATTTTGGTATTTCCCACCGTTGATGCAAAATTTTAGTGTGGTAGGTGAAGTCCATTTAAGGAGTTATACGAAGTACAAACAGGCTTCGAATTGAATGATGAATGAAGATAATAAGGAGCTATGAAACTCTTTTTGCTTTGTCACGTTTTTCTGCCGCTGTCGTTTCTCTTGTTTGGACGGGGAAATGTCGTGGAAGGTGGTATATTATTCTTGCACCTTTTAGAAAAATAAGAATATATATATTTTAGGTAACTTTTGTCGTTGTTGAGTAGAGATAATAATGAATAGTTATAATGTTGTAATTTTTTTTTACCAATTATTATTGTAAGTTTAATAAGATTAGTTAACAATTATCAGTTATCTTTTTTTATGTATATTTTTAATAGGTTAAATTCTATTTTTCATTTTCTAGATTTATTTTGGGTTTTGATTTTTTTTTTAAAACATAAAAATCTTTTTCAATTTTTTTTCTTCCTGTTACAACATTTCGCTTACCGTCAAATTCGTGACCTCACTTAGCGGAGTCTTCTTAATAAAGATTAACTCGGTTGAGTCGTAATTGCTAGTTGAATATTTAAAATATTTTTCTTATGTATTTAAACCACTGACACATTTGATTTGTTTAGGACTTTCTATCTAACTACTTAATCTATCTTTGTTGACACACTCAAACCATCTATTCAATCATTTAAACTACTCTAGAAGGAAAGTGTATGTATCTTTTATTCTTATTTACATAGTAACTTTAGGTAAAATTAAAAATTATTACTTATAAATAATTGGTGATAAATAGTTAATGTAGGTAAAATTTAAATTTATAATTTTCTTTGTTGTAAGTAAATTTTATAAAATTACATAATAGACGGATAAATTATCTGACATTTACTCACAATTTTTTTAACTTTTAATAACAATTTATGTTTATCATTATAACTTAATTACAAGTAATGTTATAATTACAAGCAATAACAATTTATGTTTATCATTATAAGTTAATTACAAGTTAATTTTCTAGTATACTATTAGTATAGTATTAAATTATTTAATTTGTTTAAGGTCTTTTATATAAGAGTGTTAATGAATCATGAATTAAATTTTGAAAAATTTAAAATCGAATCAATTTATTTTATAAAAAATTTAAAATCGAATCAAAATTAGATTGGATTAGTTAATTAATTAATTTTGGTTTAATTTTTAATTATTTTAATATATTTATTAACTATTTTTTTTATATAAATTAGATTGATTTTCATAATTGAATTGGTTAACTAATCTATTTTAAACTAGTTTGATTTTTAATTATTTTAATATGTTGATTAATTAATTTATTTTTATAAAATTAATTTATTTTTATAATTAAATTAGATTGGTTGTGATAATTTTTTTTTAAATTGATCAGTTTGATACAATATTATCTATTATATATATATATATAAATTATTTAAAAAAATGAATCGAATTAATTTAATTTGTAAAAATATTGAATGGATTTTACAAAGGATATCGATTTAATTTTTTTTTTTCACGTGGATCAATCAATTATAAATTGGTACAAATTGGTTAATTTTTTCTTTTTTTACACTTCTAATTATATAAATATATTATTATGAATTATAATTGTGACGACCCGACCGGTCACTACACACCAACCTCAAAACACCGTAAACACCAGACAGAAAGAGCAAGTATATAACTATAGGGTCTAGAATATAAAAATATACAAACATCTACAATATTTAATTTAGTACTTTTTTCTCACATATATTTCCTCCTTTTTTCAATTTTTACATGCACCCTTTATTTTTCCTTCACCCACCTATTTTGGTAACATGTGAAAATTGAAAGAGAAAAAAGTGTGTGAATAAGAAGAAGAAAGTAACAAATTAAAAGTTAAAAGTGTAAAATTAAATTTTTTAAAAAAAAATTATAATATTTTATAATTTTTTTAAAAAGGAGATGTACTTATAAAAAAAGGAGGTGTATATATCATGAGCCAAACGAGTTTAATGCATAGAATAAACCCAATCTCGTTGGGCTCCTTACAGAATGCGCTTAGAAGACGAGTCCGGTGCTTAACCTCTAGAGGGACTAGTGCCTTGTGGCTTGTTTGTTTGAAATTTGAAGTGGAATTTTGGTATTTCCCACCGTTGATGCAAAATTTTAGTGTGGTAGGTGAAGTCCATTTAAGGAGTTATACGAAGTACAAACAGGCTTCGAATTGAATGATGAATGAAGATAATAAGGAGCTATGAAACTCTTTTTGCTTTGTCACGTTTTTCTGCCGCTGTCGTTTCTCTTGTTTGGACGGGGAAATGTCGTGGAAGGTGGTATATTATTCTTGCACCTTTTAGAAAAATAAGAATATATATATTTTAGGTAACTTTTGTCGTTGTTGAGTAGAGATAATAATGAATAGTTATAATGTTGTAATTTTTTTTTACCAATTATTATTGTAAGTTTAATAAGATTAGTTAACAATTATCAGTTATCTTTTTTTATGTATATTTTTAATAGGTTAAATTCTATTTTTCATTTTCTAGATTTATTTTGGGTTTTGATTTTTTTTTTAAAACATAAAAATCTTTTTCAATTTTTTTTCTTCCTGTTACAACATTTCGCTTACCGTCAAATTCGTGACCTCACTTAGCGGAGTCTTCTTAATAAAGATTAACTCGGTTGAGTCGTAATTGCTAGTTGAATATTTAAAATATTTTTCTTATGTATTTAAACCACTGACACATTTGATTTGTTTAGGACTTTCTATCTAACTACTTAATCTATCTTTGTTGACACACTCAAACCATCTATTCAATCATTTAAACTACTCTAGAAGGAAAGTGTATGTATCTTTTATTCTTATTTACATAGTAACTTTAGGTAAAATTAAAAATTATTACTTATAAATAATTGGTGATAAATAGTTAATGTAGGTAAAATTTAAATTTATAATTTTCTTTGTTGTAAGTAAATTTTATAAAATTACATAATAGACGGATAAATTATCTGACATTTACTCACAATTTTTTTAACTTTTAATAACAATTTATGTTTATCATTATAACTTAATTACAAGTAATGTTATAATTACAAGCAATAACAATTTATGTTTATCATTATAAGTTAATTACAAGTTAATTTTCTAGTATACTATTAGTATAGTATTAAATTATTTAATTTGTTTAAGGTCTTTTATATAAGAGTGTTAATGAATCATGAATTAAATTTTGAAAAATTTAAAATCGAATCAATTTATTTTATAAAAAATTTAAAATCGAATCAAAATTAGATTGGATTAGTTAATTAATTAATTTTGGTTTAATTTTTAATTATTTTAATATATTTATTAACTATTTTTTTTATATAAATTAGATTGATTTTCATAATTGAATTGGTTAACTAATCTATTTTAAACTAGTTTGATTTTTAATTATTTTAATATGTTGATTAATTAATTTATTTTTATAAAATTAATTTATTTTTATAATTAAATTAGATTGGTTGTGATAATTTTTTTTTAAATTGATCAGTTTGATACAATATTATCTATTATATATATATATATAAATTATTTAAAAAAATGAATCGAATTAATTTAATTTGTAAAAATATTGAATGGATTTTACAAAGGATATCGATTTAATTTTTTTTTTTCACGTGGATCAATCAATTATAAATTGGTACAAATTGGTTAATTTTTTCTTTTTTTACACTTCTAATTATATAAATATATTATTATGAATTATAATTGTGACGACCCGACCGGTCACTACACACCAACCTCAAAACACCGTAAACACCAGACAGAAAGAGCAAGTATATAACTATAGGGTCTAGAATATAAAAATATACAAAGCCTCGATCCGACTAGAGTTAGAGTGTTCAAAACATCCTATCGGCAAAATACATAACCAACTGCTACACCTAGTAGCTATTACAACAAAATATCAATAAAACATGGCCAGCTCCGCATACCAGCTGCCGACTCACCACGAACCAAACACCTAATCCTGTTCTGCTCCCGTAAATCATACGATCATAGCAGTCCAACCACAAGGAAACAACAAGGGTAAGCTAGTATAAAAAGAACAACATACAGCAAAAATTCTAATAATCAGTACAACTTCAACCGTCAACACAACAACATTCTACTATCCATTCAATTTATGCAACCAACCTGCAATTTGATATAAATGCGTCGTCATGCATATCACCTCGGAGATTCTCCTACAACAACTCAGCCGTGAAGGCCTACAACAACTCAGCCGTTAAGGCCTACAACAACTCAGCCCTTGAGGCCTACAACAACTCAGCCAATACGGCCTACAACAACTCAGCCATTACGGCCTACAACAACTCATATCAATATTCAACACACCTCAACTTTTTCAAACTTAACATACAACACAACTTATCCACATACACTCAACTTATCAACATACAACTCAACTTATCAACATACAACTCAACTTATCAACATACAACTCAACTTATCAACATACAACTCAACTTATCAACATACAACTACATAATTCAATACATAAAAGGAAATGTCTCATCCCCGCGCCCGGCGCCCTCGAAGTTGCGCCCAGCGCAGTACAACCAGAGAGCCCCAGGGGGCTAGCGCGCCCAGCGCAAGCAGGCTCGCGCTTAGCGGGACTCAGCCAGAGAGCACAAGGCTCTCCCGTGCTTGGCGCAATACTAACTGCGCCCAGCGCAGGCCAGACAGAGACTTCAAGGAGTCTCACGCGTCCAGCGCACCTAACCCAGCGCTCAGCGCGGGGAAGGCAGAGACCACCCCTTGGTCTCGCGCCCAGCGCAATTCGGAATTGCGCCCAGCGCCCACGAGGCAGAGACTCCCAAAGAGTCTCACGCCCAGCGCGACAAGGGCCGCGCTTAGCGCAGCCTCTAGAGCCTAACAACAAGTTACAATGGTATCGCGCTTAGCGCAGTCCAAGTCGCGCCCAGCGAGGGCCAACCAGAGACCTACGTTCTGAAGCACGCCCAGCACACTCATCAAGGCGCTCAGCGAGCTTGGCTAAATGAGGTCCCATGGCGGCCACACGCCCAGCGCGATGAACAGCGCGAAGCGCGAAGCTCATCTGAAACCTTACCAAGTTCAAAATTTTTCCCAAAGTACCTGCAAAAAATCACTATCCAGTACATGCAATCCGGCCAAAGTAACACATTTTCATCCAAGAGTTCAAAAATAACATCTTTTTCAACATGCAACCACAACTTCATCAAAAAAACCC